ATGAAAAAACTTCTGCTAAGTGCTAACAAAATGTTGTTGTTTTTTTCATTTTATGAATAAATATAGCAAAATATAAGTATAGGATTTGAGGCAAGTATGAGTTAAAATAGAGTTGTTTCTTTCCACTGTTACCACAAGCTTGCACAGAACAAGAGATTGCTGAAAACTCAGTGTCTCCAAGCTGTTGCTTTGGTGTTATAAGATAGATTTTAAAGCAACTGACAGAATTTGATCGCAATGTTTTATAACTAGTCAAATTGTAAAGAATGCAATCTAAATTTTTAATTTTTCATGAGACTGGATTCGTCTGATTTCCTATTTCTGTATTTTAATACAATCTGATTGTCTTGTAAAGATGATATTGTTTTTGGGCACTATTTTAATAAAATGAATTGATGTGGAAACCACTTATCATTTCACAGTTAGTAAGCTACAAGTGGCTTCTCTTTAACGGGACAAACTGCAGACAATCCTGAGCAGATACCACACTAACTAACCAGTTATTATCAGTTTGTTATATGTCTACAAATTAATAAAGAATAATCAATCAGTTTTAATAGCATTTTTCAGCATGTGTTTTCCCCTTTCTTAAATGCTATTAAGCCATGTTATTTTTACTCAAGGTTATCAGAATCCTAGAATAACGTGCTGCTCCGTGTCTACTGCTACATCTAATAAGGACAGGATTTGTTACTTTATATCCAATGTTTTCAAGAACCACCACTGGTATTTACCTGCTTTCAATTGTACTCAGAGTGATCTATGATGAAGAGGGTTTGTAAGCAAGTTTTGACTACTTACTAAGAAAATATTACTCAAAATAATTGTAATTTAGAGATAAAAAAAAAAAAAGCCGAAACAAAACAATGGAGCATATTTACACCCCCCAATGAAACACCAAACCAAGAGACAGAGACCTAAAATTAAATGCTGGTGGCTATTAAAGCTTCTTTTCATCCGACTCTAAAGTGGAAACTTGTACGCATTCAATTACTAAACTAACATATTTGCATATAAAAGCTATCTATGCATTTATTGTGCGGAGATATACTGAAATACAAGCTGCCAGAAGTGCTAATATACTATTTATTACAGAAGCTAACAATGAATTTGACTTCAGGTGAGCTCCTGGTTTATTAATGGATAAAAGGTTTGTTGTTGTTGTTTCTATCTTTTGTGACAAAACAACATACAATAATAATAATAATAATAATAAGCCCAGATACTGCTTTGTTCTGTTTTGAAACATCTTGACAGTTTGGTAACTTAGAAACCTCATTGTTTAGTGATGTGGTGCTTAATTTGAAATGTTTGAGAATCACTGATTTACATAATTATCACTCTAAAGGTTAGAATACATCAGAATCTGAATCAACTTTTACTGGACAAGAATGCGTGCAAGATTATGACTTCGGTTTTTAAGCGCTCACAGTGTCCAAAATATAAATATTTCGAAATTATGAAAAATAAAATAAGGAAAACATATGTGAAAACACATGTACATATGTGAAGCTGTTTTATGCTTTTTGATTTGCTTATTACAGGTTATACTAAATTATTATCACATGTTTTGTTGTTTAGTTTATTTTGAGATTTCTTTAGAATAAATATTTGTATTATTTGTCTTTAGATTAATGTTATTATACATAGATCTACTATTCTTACGTTGACAGTAATAATAACAAAAGGTACAATGTTACAACGTTCCTTAAAAACAAAAGAATTAAACAAAATAAAACTAAAAGGCTACTATGGGTGGTCTGTTGTGAGGATGTCACGGAACATTTAAAATGTCAGGAAATTCCAGTTTTCTCTAATGACACGCTAACCCGTAGTCTAATTTCTCAGTTTATTAGCTTAGATTACGAGCCAAAACTATTAGGTCGAACATCCACATGTATGTATGACTCTTAATAAGGACTTTCTAACTAACTGTGGTGTTGTAAAACAGCTACAAACCTCTAAAAACGCATTTTGCAAATATTCGACAGAAATCCAGCTAGCTTGCTAGCCAGAGGTTAGTGCGCAGGCGCAAATTGACTGCCACTTTACCTCTCTTCCAGAAAATAACATCCAATGTTCCGAACGAACATGGCTCTTTAGGGTCTGACAGCCACAATAAAATGCCGACCGCGGTGCGCTGTTGCCCCGCAACACACCGGGAACGGTTGTTTTCATGTGGTTCAACTGCCTGCGAGACAAGGCCGGTGAAAAATTACACCTGACAAGGCTCCGGAGCTAACCGGTTGGCTGTGTGTGGTCACTCGGCGGAGCTGCATCATGGCTCCCAGTCCAACTTTAATAGATCAATCTGTCGGTTCTGACAACATTATCCTCAGCTCCTCACTAAATGGACCGAGAAAAACATGGCGCCACATGTTGTGCTCCCTAGTGTGCCCGTTTCCCCCCCAAAGTTTAACCTGAACGACACCTCACAAAACTCGGGGTAAAACTGTCAGACTACCCTGGAAAACTGGCTTCGACCCGGGCCATCCCTGGTAAATAACGGTCCCGTTAAACGCTAAAGGTCCAGCGGTGACGCTGCTCAGTCGGGTTCAGAGACAATACCACATTTTCCAACGGAGTCCAACAACATCACGATGATGAAGGTACCAGTGGTGGTACTGGCCCCTTCGCCTTCCAGTGTCGCAGCTTCCCACCACTTCTTTCTGCCAACCGCTACCGAGCGCTCACCTGCCGTCGTGTCACGCAGATACCTCTCCATCTGCGGGAAAGTCAGCTCAGGGAGGTCTAACGCTGCTCCGTAGCGCTCCAGAAACGAACATACCTCCGCGAAGCTCGGGCAAAGCGGCGGGCCGGAGCTTCTCACCACCGCCGGAGCAGCCATCTTTCCAGGCGGAGAGAGAAATGTGAGGGGAGGGTTCGCCACTCGGATGCGACTGTGCGCGAATGAAATGAATGGAAAGGCAATGGAGGATCTACCGGTGTAAAACTACACAACGGAGATCAAAAGAACTTCCGGAATGTACTTTCAAAATAACACCATCTAGGTGGATAAAATAAAATAAAAAATAATATTTAACAGTATTTCCGAACCTACATCAAACAGTAAATTAAAAATTAATAAAGATCAAGCAAGTATGATAGAAAAGAAGGCATAAAAATGGGAAAATTTGATAACTCAAAACAAGGGATTGATCTTGTTTCGCTATTGTGGTTGTTGTTTTGAGATTTCTTGCTGTGAAAAAGTGCAAACTGTCAAGGTAAAATGTTTTTAACAAAACGAGCTAATCCAACAACATCGTTACAAAACCAAAAAGCACAGTTTCCGAACCACTACGACAAAAATATGTACGTTAAAATAAAGCAGTTATGACAGGAAATGAAATATAACCTGAACAACCTTATTGTAAAATTGGTATACAGATCAGGAGAAATTTACTGGGCATGGATTATTTTTTATGATAATTTAAAATGTTTTGTTCTAAGAAAATATATCCAATGATCAATTGTTGAATTTTTTTATCTTCTTACACAAAAACACATATGTTTGGTTGATTTAAATTAAAACCACAATTACTTCATTAATTTTAGGCTTTGTTACTGCTTTTAAACTCTAAACAATACTCCGTTATTTTATTTTTCTTGAAGTAACCGTAACAAATTAGAGGTACTTTTTGGAGCTTTATTTCTAAATCCAACTTCGACACTTCCGGGAATCGCGTAGTGATTTTTTTCCAACTTGATTGAGGCTCAGAGAAGTTTGGGAGGACCACAGAGGGCACAGCGAGAATGCCCAGAATTCATCGCGACTGACTAACATCAACAACAAAATGGTTTTGGTTTTCATTCCTCAGATATTTCCACTCGGAACTTAGTGGCCCCACATGTTCACTGATTCACTTTACATCCTGTTGTACGTGTGGACAGCGCATGAAAATGCATTTACGGAATATTTCCAGTTAAACTCTAAAGCCAGATGTTGGCATGTTTTAAGGACAGGCAGTCTCTCTGCCTAACATGATGCTACCTTAAGGGACTGTAAGAAATATAAATACAGAGAAAGACATCCAAATTTTTGCTTCTACTACTAATTAATTATGATTACCGAGTTAAATTATTTTAAAAAGGCGGATATTAGTACTTCATTTATTCGAGTTTATGGAAAATCATTGCAGCTGAAATTTAGCTTGTCTTGGTTTTTATTCATATTATTCATATTATTAGTATTCATATTATTCATATTATTCATATTATTCATATTATTATTATTATTATTATTATTATTATTATTAGTTTTATTTTTTATTTTTTTTTACCAAACTTAATTTTATTCTTTGTTTTATCATTTGTCTACCTGTGAGGTTGTGATTGTTGTAAAGCACTTTGGTCAGAGATGATGTTGTAAATGTGCTACATAAATAAACTTTGACTTGATGTGAATTTGAAGGAATTAATTTGAGGCTTTTCTCTGCAGCTTTTATAGTTATAACTTTGAATTGCCTTGTCGCTGAAAATGTGCTATATAAATAAAATTACCTTGCCTTACCCTAAAAGTTAAGAGCTAATGATAATTTCTTAATTATCAGCTCTTAATCAAGAAATTAATTTATATTTAATCAATTAATTTCTTCACAAAATTTTAGTGCATAGTTAATTTTTGTCGGTCATTTTTATTCTTGAATCTTAATCTTCAGTGATTCATAAGTTTTAATAATAATTATATCGACTGTTATTATTGTTGACATTTGTTCACAAGTTAAAACCTGGTTTCTAAATTAGCTTAGATAACATTGAAATAAAATTATTAGATGAATTATATAATTTTCATTTTTGCTTTAACTATTGTGTTTTTTTGTTGTTGTTGTTTTTATTAATCAATCAATTAAATATTTGTTTATTTTTCTCTTGTAAAAGAAAAATAATTCTTTTGTAATTTGTAGTTCAAATTATAAATTACAGAGTCGCATTAAACGCGTCATAGTGACGTCAAATAGATATTTTCGGTGTGTCCGTGAACGCAGCTGCTGTATAAGACTGGCGGAAGGAGTCCGCAGCCTTACAGGAAGACGGTGATTTCGAAAGTTATTGTTGTTCCTTTTCAAGAGCGCCGTGCTGCTACATTGCTCTGTCCTGGAAAACTAATTAATCTAACTTTTTGAAGCGACCGGCTTCTGAAAACCACAACAATGATTATTTAATCATTATAAGACACGCAGTATATTGGTAAGTTTTTTTTTAAATAATTTCTTTTTTTTAAATCACAAAGTTGTATGACATTGGATTAGTGAGTATAGTTCCAACGTGCAAACCAGGCCTTTGTCTTAAAACGTTATTTTTTATAAGTATATATATAAAGAAATAATATTTTACATGTATTTTTTAAATGTGCTTCTTACTACAGACATTTCATGTGAACAAGGCAGCCTGTTGATGCTTCAGTCACGGGTTGTTTTTAGCCTGGACTCATGTTTCACCACTTAACCCCGTTAAATTACTTAACTGGAATATTATTGAGGGAAACCACTGGCCACTCTTGGGACTAAATAGTTGGGGTTTTTTATGTTTTCTTGGAGGAGCCCTCCCTTCTTTTCTTCTGACAGCTGCAGGTGAGAAAATAAACCTGTTTTTCACCATAGCTTCAAATTAAACATATTTTTTATGGATATTAGTGTCTAAAGAAGGATAAAATAGAGATGCATAAACTGTTATCTTCATCACACATTTTTATATGGATTTATAAATGTCTGATGAGAACTGTCAATTAGTTTTAGTGCTTAAACCATACATTCATTTATCACCTTCTGCCCATCTGAGGTCAGTTATTACAGAAACTGGTCCAGGTAAGAAACCCATAAAAATAAAATCCTATATAAAAAGTATGAAAATTTTTTTTTTGTAGTTTTGAGACTGTATCTTTTTAAAATGAACACAGGATGTCTTTTATTTTTGCACAATTCAGACCAAACTTTAGGAATATTGTGGTGAGAAACTGGCCGGTGTGGCTTTATCAGTCACACACAGCCAGACATATGATCCTAAAGTGTAAACATTTTAGGAACTATGCGTAAGCTTTAAGAAAACAAATACAGAATTTTACAAATGTTGATATGCTCCACCTGCCAATTATCTAACATGTTATCTAACTACTGACATAAGAGGAATACACTGCAAAAACACAAAATCTTACCAAGTATTTTTGTCACATATCTAGTGTGAATATCTTAGTGTACTTTAAATAAGACAAAACTAATTTATTTAGATTAGCTCCTACATCTTTTCATCAGAATGTAGGAGCTTATTTCAAGTCAATGATGAGTAATAACTTAATAACCGGCAGATTAATTTTTAGCAGTACATTTTTTCCCATAAGTAAAATAATCTGCCAGTGTGACTAGAATGTTTTACATCATTATAAAGGAATTACTGACTTGGCATAAGCTAAAAAGTTGCTTGTAAGTTTTGTCCCATTTCAAGTATACCAAGATATAAGATGTATTCAGTGTAAATCTAGAAGGAATTCGTTCAGCCGTCTGGATCATGACGAATTGGATGTTTTCTGTGCAGATAAATTCAGAGAGGAGAGATGGCCATCGCTCACGTTGCTACAGAGTATGTGTTCAGCGACTTTCGGCTGAAGGAGCCAAACCAGGCTCGGTACCAGAACATCCGAACGGAGCTGGCCGCAGACAAGATGGTGACCTGCGTGGCTGTGGGGCTGCCCCTCCTCTTCATCTCCCTGGCCTTCGCTCAGGAGGTCTCAGTTGGTGAGTCAGACCACAGCTAATCCGGTAAAAATCCAGATTATCTGCTTCTGGTCGGGCAAAATGAAGAATCATCAGCTGATCTGTCTTAGATTCAGCTGAAGAAATGGGAACAAATTGTGTCTTTATGACATTCGGCTTGTAACAAATAGTTTAAAAAAAAATCTGATTTTGAGTTTTAGGATTTTTTTAGGCATAAAAATGGTAAAGATTTATGAATACATTGATATAAATATGGCTGAAAACATATCACAATATAAGTGTTTCATATCAGTCGATATTGATTTATTTTTGTTTTAAAATACTGATAACTGTTGGTGTGACTTTAACTCATCCACAGTTTTCACTTCACACTGTTATTTCTTATTTTTAAGCAGTTATTGGTTAAGTAGTTACTACCGAGGAACTGTCTTTTTTTGACTACATCTCCCAGAATGCTGTGCAGTTCTGGATTGGAGTTCAGTGAATATATTTAATATTCTCTCCAGTGTATTCTCTATTGATACTGATCACGTGTCTATAGTGATCAGTTATTGATTTATCGTCCAGCCGTAGATATCAATTAAGGGTGAGCATTTATTGTATCGTTTATCATTTCTAAAAAAAATTATAAGAATTTTGATTCATTTTTACCACAATAAATTTCAGTTAAATATATTTAAAAATAAAGAAATAACGGTATTACTGTAAATGTTATTTTTGCCGTTTTCTCCACAGTTTGTTTCATAAAAGCATCAATAAATACCAGTAAATTTGAATGTATAATTAAATGTAGTTACTGTGTGCAGTTTAGTGATATAAATCACTTTTTTTAAGCTGGAATTTTTACTTTTATTTTCAAGAACAATAATTGTGTTTGTGGTGCTATGATGATGCGCCACGCAGTCACAGACATACAGTTACCTAAGAAATAAACAATAGCTGTTTGTTTTGTTTGTTTTTTTTACTATAATTTTTTTATCATTACTACCTCAAAATATCACAATAAAATTCTAGGCCCATATCGCCACCCCTGATGTTGATATTTGTTTTGGAGTAGATATTTAAGTGTATTTATTTCCAAGAGATGTAGTCTAAATTTTTGTATTTTTTTTTATTTCAGGTACTCAGATAAGTTGTTTTTCTCCCACCAACTTCTCCTGGAAACAGGCAGGTTATGTGGATTCGTACTGCTGGGCGGCTGTTCACAATTACTCTCTGGTTCTGGGGCTGCACAAGGTAAACACACACACACACACACACACACACACACACACACACGTTTAAAATGTCTCCATCTAGCCTTGCGCCATTAAATTGGGTTGGATGTTTATGTCAGAGACCAAAACAAAAGTAGCCCATAACTAAAAGTCTGAAAAGTGTGGCATGTTTTTTTTTTGTGCACAGCAAAAACAAAATCTTACCAAGTATTTTTGTCTAGTTTCTTGTGGAAATATCTTTGCACACTTGAAAAAAAAAACAAAAAAACTGACTTGCATGCAACTGTAACTTAGTTCTAGTTCAACTAGCAGATTATTTCACGTAGGGGGAAAATGTCTTGTAAGTTAAATAATCTGCCAGTGGGACTAGTGCTCTTGGAAAAATAAATATTATGTAATTAATTACTTGAAACAAGCTCCTATTTCTGGCTAAAAAGTTACTTTTAAGTTAGTTTTGTCTTATTTCAAGCGTAATAAGATGTTTGCACTAACAACTAAACCAAAATACTAGGTAATATTTTGTATTTGAGCAGTGTTTGTTTTAAGGGGCAGTATTATGTGTTTTCCAAATAGCACAATCAAATAACTCTTCCCAACAAACTTGTACACAACATTTTACAGATTTATGGTTTAAAAAAAAAGTTATTTCATTTCAAATAAATGTGCTCTAAGTTGGGTTGATATCCTCTAATTCAAATAAAAACATTGAGGTTTTTGGGTTTTCAAAATGTAAAACATTTCAAATTGTTTGAATATTTTACTCGTACTATAAGATCTCACATCAGGTTGTATAATTTGCACATCTGAAAGCAGTGACTTCATTCAGCTTTTGTTGTGTTAATTCACAGGTGTGTCAGAAAAGTTTTCTAATAACATGCATTAAGACAGGAGGTGTGTCTGTCTGTTCACATTCCTGTTTGTTCTTACTGGTGTCATCAGGAATTTCTATTTATATTAAAACGTGTTCAGGCTGAACATGTTTATGCAATGTTTTAATTTACATTTTACTCATACGCTAAGCTTCTTTTTTTAACTGGTTTGCACTTTAGTCTCACTGCTTTACGTTTGGAGTCTATAACAAATGCCAGTTTATTTCTTCAGTATTTAAGTTTGTTTTTTTTAACATTAGGAGACAGTTTAGAGTGATTTGTGATGTAAAAGTAGAGCGGAGGCTGTCGGTTCTGGACGCTGCCGTCCAGCGCTATTCCCTAACTTAAAACCTTTTCTGCGTTTTTTCCCCCGTTTGTGTCTCATACTTCAAATAAATACCACAGAACATTTAAATAAAAAATAGGAAAAGGTAATAACACTTTACTCCAGTTTCAGTGAAGAGAGAGATTCTTCATTCATTTGGTTATTAATCTGAATTTTTTTTAAAATGGCAGATTTTTCTGTTTGTTTATAGGATATTATAAATAATATACACAAAACATTTTATTGCTTAAAATAAAACAGTGTTACTTTTGTGAACCCCAGATCATTTGTAATAAAGAATGAACCTGCAGCTAAATAAATGTTAATATGTGAAAAACTATGCAACTAATTAAACTAAGCAAAAGGTGCTTCATAGATTTATTTTTTTATATAAAATTTAAGCTGAGTGAAGCTAAACCAGCTGGTAGTCGAGTTCTGGGTAGAGCATATTTTCCATCTTAAATGTAAAATTTTTCACACAGTTTTGGTTTAATTACTCCTTTGAGTGTGTTGTTACAGCCGCAAATGACCTTTTATTGAGTCTGTATGCTGCAGTTAGCGATTAATTGATCAAAGTTAATTCAATTATCAATTAATCTGATTAATGTCTCAGCCCCAGTGCATTCATTAGCATTAAATGTAAAAATTTTGGTGATAATATTCAGGATCGTATGATCAGCATGTGTCATCAAGCTGCTTCTGATGAAACTAGAAAATTGTCCGTTAGTGGAAATTCGACCGAATACAACGGTTGGCAGTTTCCTCTTCAGGCCATCCTCTGTCCCCTCGACATGAGGTTGGGTCGTCTGTGGGTCAAACTTTCTGCTCGACTGAAGCCGGTCACCGTTAACCCTTCCTGTTCACCCCGTCTCTCCAGTTCTTCCCCTACATCCTGCTGCTGGTGGCGGTGCTGATGTACTCCCCCGCCTTGTTCTGGAGGTTTTCCGCAGCGCCGCTCCTGCAGTCGGACCTCGCCTTCATCATGGAGGAGCTGGATCGGTGCTACAACCGCGCCGTCACTCTGGCCAAACGCTTGGCGACCTCCGGACTGCAGACCTCAGACAGGTACGCTCCGGGATCACACCCTCACTACAAAACACTTTACTTCTAACTCTATAACATAAGAGGAATCGTAATAAATTGCACCATTTAATATTAAACAAAGCTATTGTTTAGAAATCTATGCAAAAAAAAAAAACATACTTGCTGTGTGAAAAGCATACACATCTACACTGAAAAAACAAGTATTTTTGGTCTAGTTTCTTGTTTAATTATCTTAATACATTTGCAAATAAGACAAAACTAACTTACGAATAACTTTTCAGCAACATAGAGGAGCTTGGTTTATGTCAATAACTCCTTAATATTGATGAAAAGAACTAGTTCCACTGGAAGATTATTTCATTTCTTTCAACAAGAGATTTCTCCATCTTATAAGTGAAATAATTTGGAAGTAGAACTTTTTTAATCAATATTATTGACTTGAAACAATCTTCAGTATCTTGCAAGTTAGTTGGTTTTTTTTTTAGTAAAAACCTTCCACTTGTCGAAAATTAATTCATAACTTGTTATATTCTTTAAATTACATCACTTTTGTAGTTCTCAAATCTTGAGACCTGCCAGTTTTAAGCTGCTTTAAGTGAATATTTGTGACTTTATCTTCCACAGACAAGAACTGATTCATTAAACTAAACATTTATTGTATTGTTTAGAAGTGAGTGAGAGTTTAAGATAAGGTAATAAATGTTAATGATCTGCAGAGGACAACAATGAAACGTTTTTCTGCATCAGCGTATTGTAGATTAATAAGAGGGAGTAAATTCCCACCAAAAAACAAACAAACTCTAAAACAAAAGACATTTCTGAGTTAGAAAAGTGGAAAAATTAACAGAAATAATTAATCTCAGAAAAACTTGGAAATTTCAAAAGTCGAACAATTTTGATTTTTGAAACAATTTTTTTTTTTCTGGACATTTCTGAGACTAATCTCAAAATTTCTGTTTCCTTATTTTTTGTGTGTTGCTTTTTTGTTTATCTACAACGGTCCTAATATCCCGCTGTATTTTTCAGTGTAAATAATTTATTTAAATCTCTCCCCGCTCTCTGGCCAGCGACCTCACGGAGGGTTGCTTCAACTACCCGCTGGTGGAGAAGTTCCTGATGACCAAGCGCCGCTCCCGGGTGCTGCTGTCCTACTACCTGCTGTGCCGCGGCCTGACTCTGGTCACGCTGCTCTGTGCCTGCCTCTACCTGGGCTACTACCTCCACCTGGCCTCCATCATTGACCAGTTCGACTGCCTGCTGCGGGTCGGCCTGCTCGTCAACGACACCAGCATCCCAGAGAGGGTTCAGTGTAAGCTCATCGCTGTGGGAGTCTTCTCTCTGCTCAGGTAACTTTGCATCTGCAGTAGGGATGCAGACGGCTAAAACTACGTGTGAACGGACATTATTAATTTTAATTAATCGTGTCAATTAATGGTTTATTAGTTAATTAACTGATTATTTCCGCTTGGTTTTAGTATTGTAGTTTGGCCTCCAATCAGAAGAGGGCGCCTTCATCCTTAGGCAGAGCCATAGATGAACAAAGATAGCACATATACAAATAGTTATTCGATTTTTAAAGAAAACTAAATTGTTTCATAGTATTTGATCATTTGTAGTAGATGTAAATGTTGTGAATGTATATACATATACAGATAAAGAGATGGATATATATTTATGTAGATATATATCTACATAAATCGTCACAAACCGCACTCCATACCACTAGGTGGCGGCAATGGTGCTGTAAGTTTTTTGCCATCCGCCAATAAAACTAAGAAGAAGAACACAGATGGCGGTGATGGCGGGGTCACTGAAAAGCTAGAACGGGGAAGAGAAACGGTCCAAACAGAGTCCGGTGTGGTTCTGTTTTAAAATATAAAAACTCAGCAGCCTCCTTAAGTTAAGTTTCACTTTAATAGCGCTTCATTCAGCTGAGCTGCGGAGTAACATCAAGTTCTCAACAGTAAACTACCGATTTAATGCTGTGAAGGGGAAGGTGTGATAACAAAAGTAGAGTGGATGCAAAAATAAAAAATGTGTAATCCAATCAATTTTTAAATCATACATTTTAAGTTAACTGCGTAAATAAAGTCCGTTTTTCAATAATTGTTGAAGAATACAAGTTGAAATAAGTTATGTAAATCAATAGTTTGTATCAGCAACAAGTAAGTTCAGAGTGCTTTCCATCATATACATACACACACACACACACACACACACACACACACACAGCCAACAATTGTGAAGTGCTATTATCGTTATTTAAATGTTATTTGCCATGCTAATCTTTCTGCCTGGCTTCCAGTCTGCGTTGCTCATCAAGTTTTACTAACATGAACTGAAAATGTTTCTGTAAGAGAACCGCCCAGCAGGGAAACCCAAGAACTGTGAAGATTAAATAAAACTTACTGTGATAAATATAAAATATTACATATTTTCTTATTCTGATAATCAAATGACAGATTTATAAATCAGATTACCTGATAAATTTTTCCAACTAAACTCAGAAGGAACGAGGAAGGATTTATGCTAAGCAAATGAAATGTAAAAGTTTGGGAACCTCAGCAGGTTTATAACCAAATCTTTGTCTTTCTTCATTGTCTGTGTTTGTATCCAGTGCTGTCAACCTGGCCATGTTCATCGCTCTCATCCCGGTGGTGATATACGCCAGCCTCCGCCCGCTCTTCTGCCAGGGATACGCCCTCTTCCTGGAGACCTACCAGTCGCTTCCCACCGTGAGCGTCCTGCCCGCTCCCGGCGGCCAATGGGACGACCTCTCTCTGTACCTGCTCTACCTGGAGGAGAACCTTAGCGAGCTGAAGTCATACAAGTACATGAAGGTGTGTTTGCTTCCTGTACAGATTAGAGATCAGACCCTGGGTCAGACGGGCTGCGGGCGAACAACACTAGATGGAAAACTCTAAAGCCATTTTACATTTTTAGCTCTGGTTTTCTAGATAAAGTGACATCTGTGCTGTTTTTAGGAACAATTTAAATAAACTGAATATTAAATCAGTAACAGTGAAGATGCCCCTCCAGCATCTTGAAATCAAAAGAAATTGATTCTATGTTTGTGCAGCAAAGACCTTCATTTGTGCCACTAAACCTGCCACAATAAAATAATTAATCACTTGATAAATAAAAATATAATTGAACATTATCTGCAGTAATTTCATCTACAGATATATCATAATTTCATTTATGATTTCAGTTGTTTTTTTTTAATTTATTGTATTTGGTTGACCAAATATTGGTGGAATATTTAAAATATTCTCCAGATCCAGTGTTAACTGTCATTACTGCACCATTTTCAATAATACTATTCGACAATAATACAACAATATTATTAGAATCATTTCTGGGACAATTTATCATTCAGCAAAATGTGTCATTGTGACAGGTCTGTGTGCCACTGTCATTTTAAAAATATAAAAAAACAGAGGTCAGAGGTCAATCAGACACCCACATTTACAAAATTAAAACAAAATTGGTGTTTGATTCAACTCTGCTACAGTTGTGCAGCAAAAATGTCGACTGTATTCCCTTCCATTTGTTTAGAAGATATTACTTTATTTTGTTTTTTTATGGAAAAAAAAAAGTTTTATTTTGTTAGGTTGACCTCTGGAAACATTTATTACCTTTAACACGATGGCAGCACAAATGAACATTTTGCACCACAAACTTTTGACACCGTTTTTGTTTGATTTGAAGAAAGCAGTGGGATTTAACTTCACTAGGGTCCAAATATATTGTGATAAACAATATCAGTCAATAGATAATACATCCGATAGGCTGTTCAATAATTTCAATGAACCTCGATCCAGAACTGCACAGCATTCTGGGCAATGTAGGCAGAGGAAAGATTTTAGCTGCTGAATTTCTTATGGCTAGGTAGGCGGAATCAGCTAACTCACTCACTCTTTGGTTACCTAGCAACTCACTCACTCTTTGGTTACCTAGCAACATCCTCCCTACTTGCGCAGCAGCAGTTTTAGGTTTTGCCACTGTGCCTAATGACTGCTTAAAAATAAAAAAGATTGAGATGGAGTGATAGGAGAAAACAGCTTGAGAGGAAACTTATGGATAAAGCAAGAGTTGGTCCATATTCAAGATATTTAAAACAAAAAACAACTCATCAATTATCGACTTGTATGAACTGCTCATTAATTAAAATCTTGTCATCTTTTGTAACTCGTCTGTTTTCCCTCTGCAGGTGTTGGAGATGTTGAAGAAGCGAGGCGAGTGTGCCGGAGAAAACTTTGACACCGTGGGGCTGCTGCAGACGCTCTGCCTGGTGAAGATGGACACTGTGGATGGGAAGAAAGCCCCGGAACCTGAAGCCAAACCGGACGGAGGTTTGGCTTCAGGATCCGGACCTGTCGCCAACGACAACGAACCTGCAAAAAACAATGTCAGCCGACCGAACAACACCAAGACGGAAACGGAGATGCAAGGTGAACGCTGGATCAGACCTGTCAAGCTTAGGACATAAGAATACTGGAAATCTGCTGACGCAGCATGATAGTCAGTTATAGCAAATAATTGATCAATTATAATCTATAAGTGCTTAGATTAGATTTTTGTAAACAGTTTAAAATGACAGTTGTAGTCTAATTTCTGTCTTTACATGCTAAATTTAGAATAAACAATTTCCATTTTATGCATTTCTTAAAATAAAAACAATTGATAGATAAAATTGGACAGGTGATAATGAGATGGCTTTATTATCAATGTGTGATCAATATTTTAAAGGCATTATAACAACAAGATAAAAAGATGTTTAATAAATAAATATGCAGCCAGACTAAAGTAGTGATGAATGTGGGTCATTTTGACTTGATCATGTTTTGTTTTTTGTTTTGTTTTTCCCAGAGCTCCGTCCATTGCTGCCAGGAATCGATGAGACAGGAAGCAAAACTGGAGAGGGCGGGACTCTTCGTCAGCGAGTGATGTGATTGGCTGGAGCTCTTTACTCTGATGGATCTACAAAGACGCTCTGAATGTCTGGATTCACCAACACGGAGCTGACTTTACTTTTTCTTTAATTCTTGAACACACTTGAAACTGAAACAAACAAAAAAGGACAAACTTGTTTGCTTTGATTTCATGATTTCACTGTTTTCTTAAACTTTGATTGTATTTCAGATGTAGTGGGTTAAAAAAAAGAAAATCACTACAAAACCAAAAATGACTCCAGCTTTTCCCCTCGATCGAGCCGACGTCGGAGGGGCTGCACTGACAGCAGAGCTGCAGAATGTTGCTTGAAATGAAATCATCTCAGTCCGAGTTGAACAGTTTACAGACTCCTTTTGTGAGGACAGCTGCTGCGCCTGAATACGATTATTATTCAGGCTTCATCCGAGTTATTGTTTGAATCTGTACTGCAGATTTAATCTCTCATTACAAATTTGAGGCTTCGATTGCATCATCTCACCTCTAATGCCGGTGTTACTAATTTCCCTGAGGAGAAACTGAATGTAAAATCTGCTCACTGGATTTTCTGTTAAATGGTACAAAAACAGAAAAAAACTGAACATGCTTGATGCATCTATGTCTGTTTGGGATCGCTTAGTTTTCATGAGATGGTCGATCACATTTCAGGATACTTTAATATAGGAATTGCACAATGTTTGTTTTATGCTTTTTTTCCCAGGTTTTTAATGCTCATGACTTTCAAAAGAATAATTTCAATCTCTACGTTGATTTTTCCTGCTGAAGTAGTGGATAGTTTTCTCAAATTTTATATTATTATTTTAGAGGTACAGCTGCATGAAGCTTTTGTATTAGGGAGAGATTTTCCAGTTCAACAAGGTACAGTCTGTTCATTTTTATCTCATTTTAATTTTGTCGTCTCAGGAACAAACATCTGACTTCAGTTTTTACTTTATATCGAGTCCGTTTTGCTCACGAAATGGCTTTAATATCCAGTGTTTTCTTCTTGATAACGTTTTTGTTGAAAATTGTTTTCTGGCTGATGTTGACAGTGTTTTTGTGAAGAGGGGTAGTTGTAGCGTTTTGTAGTATTAAAGCAGAACTTTGGTGTTTTTATTTTGTGATGAATAAAGATGGAATCCTGTTCTTACAGCTGAACGTTTGGATATGCTTAATTTATTATGTTACGTTTACTAAGTGGCCTGGGTCGCATTCAAAAAACATCCGACCTGTGATGTTCGGACTGTCATGAAAAGATCAAATACAAGTCGCATTAAGCCAAAAAATTAAAATTAAAATCAGAAGCTGAACTTGGCTTCTGATTCGGAAAACCTGTTGAGTTTAAAACATGGATTGGTAATATTGTTTTTTGGCAATTATTTCAACATTTTCAAGGTTTAGCAGCAACTTTTGACCCAAGTTTAGACGGTGGTGTAGGCTCCGCGGCACCATGTTTGACTCCTGGTGTTTTTAATTTAAGGTTGTTCTCATCTGCTGCGCTAAAAACGCGATTAATGCAACTTAATCCTGTTTTCTAAAGGATGATTCCATCTAATTGTTCACCACCTTGAGCATTTTAATTCTGTTTATAAACTAACATACTTACACTTTTTATCCAGTTTGTTTTACACCAATTGCAGCGTATTTAAAACCAAGTGTGATTTGTGAAACTTGAATAAAGTTTAGTTCTTTTTCTGCATTGAGACCACATTAGAAACTCTCCAGCTCCAAAACTGCAACACAAACACTTTTCAAACCTGGTCTACATGATTCACTACTAATTGTAAAACATACTAAATCTAATGTTTTCTAACACTTTTCAAACCACATTATTCCACACTGGTGGCTGATTCATTCAAACAAGGTGTGCGAGTTGTGAAACCTGTCTAATTTGTAGAAAATAAAAATGTTATAAAGTGCCCATATTAGTTATTTTTTTTTGCATCCAGACCACATTAGAAACAATCTAGCATACCCAGACTCTTCAAACCTGGACTAGATTATTCTACATTAATTTATTCAAACAAAGTGTGTGATTTTTGATACCTAACGTCAAATGAGGTTCTCAGCCCGGGTACCATGTCCTCTCTGGAGAAAATGGATCTTGAAGACTCTGGATACTACGGTAGCATCTTCTGGAAAATCACAAGGGACGAAATGGAGCAAGATTATTAGAAACAGACTAGATACTATGATGCAGTGGTGACTTGACTCTACCCAGAAAGATTCATAATCAGCTAGAGAGGTGTTTCATCCCAGCTAATTAATCCTCAGATAATTAAGTTATTGCAGACAGGTGTGAAGTCTGCGTCAGGTTGACCACGTCCTCCAGCAGAGATCCTTTGTTCAGAAAGGAGTCTCACAAGCGCACAAAAACACACACCCAAACATGACTTTTATGGTTACACCCCACTGAAACAAAAAAATAAATAAATGTTAATTGATACTTGATAAATGATTACTGTACTGAAAACAACTCAACTGGATGTTTATAAACAAATACTATACTCAAAATTAAATTTGAGTATTTTCACCTGGTATGACGTTGAAAAAGATGTTAAATACAGAGCGGATCGTACATAGCTTAATAAGAAAGGTCTCACAAATCAAACTTGGTTTTAATATTCTGCTTTAATGTCTAACCTGACTGTTGTAGTTTTGGATTAGGAACTTCTCTATCCTGGTCTGGATGAAAAAAAAAACAAAAAAAAAAAAAAAAACAGAAATCGCCCTTTATTGAAGTTTCACAAATCAAATAAAGGTTTTCCTCTTCTGGTCAGCAGGTGGCAGCATCATAAAGGAAATCTGAAAAACAAGGAACAGGAAGTGATTGTCCTGTGAGTTTTAAAAATATGTTTTAAAGTGTTTTTTTTTTAATTCTTCGTTCTGACTTTATGGTGCTCATTAAAGCGTTCAAATTAAAGGTTTTACATATTTTCAAACAATATGACCTTTGATGGGTTGTTTATGCTTTGGAGAAGAGTTAAAAAAGAAATAAACTGTTAGCTGAGAGTTAGCATTTTAGCTATGCTCATGCGCTGTTGCATTGTGGGTAATCAAACAGTATTTTAATAATTAGATCTCATCATTTTCCTGGTTTGTGTTCTGTTTATTAAATAGTTGCTCGTAATAGGCGGATGGTTATTTGATTCATAATGTCCCTGTTTGGTTACTAGGGCTTTACTAGAAGTTAAAAACTGTAAAAATGTGTCAGTTGTTTGCTAGCGTTAGCTAGGCTAACAGCATTGCATTGTGGGTAATCAAACGTTATTTTAGACATTATATTTAACATTTTTCCTGGTTTATTTAACCAAGTTATCCCAGAATGTTTTAGCTCGTGTAATAGTGGTCTCCTGCCTTTTATTTTTTAGCTAACAATGTGTCAGCACCGTGAGTCATGTGGGTATGCCTGCGAAAGACATCCCGGCGAGAGAGAAGAGCAACTCATACTTACCTGGCAGGGGAGATACCATGATCATGAAGGTGGTTCACCCAGGGTGAGGCTCAGCCATTGCACTCCGGTTGTGCTGACCCCTGCGAATTCCCCAAATGTGGGAATCTCGACTGCATAATTTCTGGTAGTGGGGGACTGCGTTCGCGCTCTCCCCTGATTCACTGTTAATATGAAAAATAATCTTACTTGTCTGAGCAGATGTGCGTTTATAATGGAAGATTATCAGATCTCACTTCTAAAACATGGAAAAAGCTTTAGATAGACTCTTTGCTTTGCATTAAATAATTTATGAAAAAGGAGCTCTCCAACCGATGTTTTCTGTTATTTTTTAAAATCACATTTTAAGGAGAAACTGGAGCTATAATCATCGAAATACTTAAATACAGCACTTTTATAAATAAAACGGCAATAAATTGCACTATATATAGCTATATATTGCTAGGTTTCAGACACGTGACCTGGATGACGCGCGAAATTCAGATGGCCCCGATTTCTCCGGTTAATGGATCACAGCGAGTACCATAATGGGCTGGAACAGACGAGGTACCTCGAGAAAATACATGTATATTTAGGATATGATCCGTATTGTATCAGTAAAAAAGACTTATCATTTTGAGGAGTCGAGGAGATCCACATAACTCACCATCTGGAGCTGCAGACTTCATATTATATGACGTCCCAGATGAAAGGTTTCAGAAGCCTGGAGCATAAAATTATTTTGTTTAAGGTAGGGTCAACCATTTAGGATCAAAAGAAGCATTACATGGCTGTTTCTGCGGGTGAGTAGTGAGTTGTACTATTTTAAGTAATTAGTCTATAATAATGCTATT